ATTTTCGTAGTTGATAAATCAAATCTCCAACTTGAATTAGAGTGTTTAGGACTTGTTTCTTATTTTCGTGTGATTGAATATTCGCATAGAATAATCCGGCTAACCTTCCTCGTGATACGACCCGGTGTCGAATCTTTGGATTCTACTCCGGTTAAAAATATTTACAATATCCACGGCGGCTGAGAGATCTTTTATTTGTTTCAATAGTCACAAATACATCAATACATCATGTATTTATACTATAACCCTACAAGGTATTAATTACTTAAATACCCCGTACCGTACCGCGGGAGCTCTGCCCCCGCACTCCCGTCTATACCGCGGGGGCTCCGCCCCCGCACCCCCGGCCCAACTAATCGACCCAGCCCAACAAGGGCTGATGCCTGCTCGCTCCACTCCGCTCACTTCGCTCGGTCGCTCCGCTTCCCTCGCTACGTTCGCTCCGCTTCCCTCGCTACGTTCGCTCCGTTACGCTCGCAGGCATCAGCCTGCCTCCTTCCTTTGTCAATATATGAGCCATATCAAAAAATCTCCATCTTGGCGAATATATCACCTCCTTAGGAGAACACAATAGCGAGCACCTCTGCGAGACACACCAAGCAGGCCGGGGGTACAATGCAACTCTAGCATGCAGAAACATTCAACAAATCCAAGCAATGCTTGAATTTGTCAGAAGTAACTGTCTTAGTCAACATATCAGCAGCATTCTCTTCAGTATGAACTTTCTCCAACTGAATATCACCAGAAGCAATCCATTCCCTAATCTTGTGGAACCTCACATCAATATGCTTCGTCCTAGCATGATATATCTGATTCTTAGCCAAATGAATGGCACTCTGACTGTCACAATGTACTAGAACTCCACCTTGTTGAATACCCAACTCTCTAACCAATCCAGCAAGCCACACGACTTTCTTTGCCGCTTCAGCCAAAGCAATATACTCTGCTTCAGTTGTAGATAGAGCAACTATAGGCTGAGTATTCGACCTCCAACAAATAGGCCCTCCACCAAAAGTGAAGACATACCCAATGGTAGATCTCCTATTATCCAAGTCCCCAGCATAATCAGAATCCACATATCCTACAACCAAATGATCCAACCGCTGATCTCCAATCACAATACCATGTCCCGCAGTACCTTTCAAATATCTGAAAATCCATTTGACTACCTCCCAATGCTGTTTACCCGGCCTTGACATATACTTGCAAACTTGACCAACAACATGAGCTAAATCAGGACG